TATTTTGGTAATTTAGTAAAGATTTAAAAGGAAGTTCTGAATCAAAGATATAATATCAAAAAAAATAATATAATATTAAATTCTAGTGAGTATTATTGGCTTTTACTATATTAAGAAAAATAAGTTCTTTTTTTCTTTTTCTCATCTTTTTGTAATTGCTGCTGCTGATATAAATAAATTTATAATTCTCTTAATTGTTATTTTTTTATTATTATTTGCTAAAAAAGCAATAAGACATTTACATTTGTTAATTAATACTTTTGTTATATTTAATCCTTTTTTAATACTTAGTTGAAATGTATGTATAGCATAAGAAATTCTTTTATCAATATTTATGCTTTCTTTATATTGAAATTATTATCAGTTACTATAGCTGTAATTTTGAATTAATTATTCATTCATCAAACAAATTAGCTAAATGTTCTTAGATTTTAATTACATTATATAGATATGGCAGTTCTTCTATACTAAGAAGTAATTCATATGATTTAAATTTAATTATCACCTAATATGCTATAATATTTAAATAGGATATATAGGAGTATTTCTAGGAAAATCAGATTCCAAAAAGTTTTTAACTAAAATTAAGAGCTTAATGCATTTTAATCTATAACATCAAAAATTAAAATGCAATAAAAATCTCAATTTTGTTAAAAAATTCCTAGAATCTAATTTTCTAGTAATCAACTTATATGTGCTATTAATATAGTTTTGTAGCTTCAATTAAAATCTTAAAAGAGTAAATAAAACTAAAATAATTACTTAAGGAATCACAAATGAGAATTCACAATAACATCAAAGATTATTCTTACATATAAGATAAATATAAAATAAATATAAAGATACCTTAAAAGTATTTCAAAGATTATGCTTTAGAGACTTCAAGTTATTATAGTGAATCAATATAATATCATAGAATAGGTTTACTAATAATAATTAAAGGGATTGTATAAATACAAAAGGATCATGAATATTTATAACAGTTTTAAAAGATTGTGAAGGATAAGTTTTATACTTGATTAATTATACTTCTTTATTAATATAATATATATTCAGTACTTAAAAGATTAACATCTCGTCAGTACTGATATTAAAAGAAAATACAAAGATATTTATACATGTTGAATAATTAATAAAATAAACTAAACTAAATATATCAAAGAAAATAAAGTTGCTATTTTAATAGATAATAAAATTGCTATGTCAATAATATTGCTAGATCTACAAATAACTAAATAGATATTTATAATCTACATAATTATCAAAGGTAATAAAATTGACATCTAGAGATTTATATAATGATCTATAGTAATAAAGTAAACAAAATGATCTTTTTAAAAATCTACATGATAATAAAATTAACTTCCTAATTTACCAATTAAATCTATTTAAAATTTTACCTATTACAGTATTAATAAACTCTAGATATTTAATATTAAAGAAATATTTTCTAATTGAAAAAGTTGATTCTTAATTTTATTTACTTCTGTTTTATATACTAATAGAATTCGATCTTTAAGGAGTTGGGTAAGGTTGGTAGGATAGTTATTTGAGAATTAGAGCAATTAAGTTCCGTTAAGGAGTTGGGTAAAGTTGGTAAGCTTGTTATTTGAGAATTTCTACAATCCAATTTTGTCAATTTTCGATATCTTTGCAATCCGCCTAATGTGTTCAATATGTCATCCTTAGCATCTGTAATAGTCAAACTATCAATAGTATCATCGTAAATAATTAATTCAAGATTTCTGATTCTCTTTTCTAATTCACTAATAATTTCTTGCTTTTCTTTGGATACTTCTCGTACTCTAATCTTTTCTTCTAAATTATTAATAATTACTTGCTTGGCTTTGGCATCTTCTTTAACCTTTTCTTCTAAATTTTTAATATTTCCGTTGGTTTCTCTAAGCTTTTCTTCCAAATTATCAATATTGGCCTTGGTTTCTTCTTCTCGCTCTCTAACCTTTTCTTCTAAATATTTTAATTGTGAACGTAACCCTTCGTTACTTTGCTCTAACTCCTTAATTCTCGTTTCCAAGACTTTTAAGGATTTTTCCAAATTATTCTTTAAAACCATTTTTGATTGATTATTGTTCGGATGGTTATTTCAATGAGTTTTATTGCTTTTCTTGCACCAATAAAAATCTCTTTTTGCTCAGCCCTCGGGTTAAAACTTTTTAATTGTCGATGAGTGTTTATTTCATGCAAATTTTACTCAGCCCTCGGTTTAAATTTTTTCCTATCGTAATTTTCTCCATAAATAATCTAGTCTTAAAAATGGATCTAACCGCTTCTTGTCTTACCAAATAAAGTTAGCTGCTTTCTGAAAATCAATAAAGTTTATCAAAATGCTTCGTTTCGTTAGCTTGCATTTTAATCAAATGCATGAATAATTTATCAATGATCATTTCTAATATATTTATACGTTCGTCATTTTGTCTTTGATTTTGACACGATAACTAAAGCTACAGTAAATAATAGAGATTTTTCGTCAAAACGATGTGACACTGTAGACAGAAATATATCACGTGAAATTTCGTGCCATGATATACAGCGTCGGACACGTGCAAACTTTAGTTTTCAAATTAAGAATCTCCGAGATAAATTATTTATAAAATAAAAGAATTAATTACTTTAACGGATAAACTTTTAGCTATTCATACTAGCCGATATATGCATTATTTATCATTAATTCTCGATCGGTATTCATTATATATATTGGAATAAATTTTTTTTTCATAACTTCTATAAAATTAATCGGGATTTTAAATTTCTAGGTAACATAATTATATCTGCAAAAATGGAATCATTAACATCATAGATTGATTCTACAAGTTCACTTGATATACAGTATTTCAGTAAGTCTAAAATTGGCGAGTTTCTAATCATCAAGATTCGTTTTGATTTCTAATATATTTTTTTTCAGAGCAAATCTAAGGTAAAGTTAGTAAGCTCATTGCTGTACCGAATGAGATGTTTTATGGCAAAAACTTTGTTGTGTGTTTTGAAAGCTAACGCCATCAATTTGCTCAATTTCGCAATTATTTACGTCATCAATACGGGTTTGAAACTTTATATTATGCGTTACACGTAACATACAACACAGTTAGCCCCATGCGTTAAAGTAAAACGAGCGCAACATATTGAGAAAAAGAACTCATGTGTCTCTTTCAACAATTTTCATTGATTACGTCCGTCTGAAAATGGAGAGTTCGCATGAGACAAGTTTATCCCTTAACCGAACTTACCGTGACTTCAAAATCAGTTGAATAGTCTTTATCCAAATTATCAATGTCAATTATAATATATATCGTTTCATAAACAACATATGAATTTTGTTTCCTTTTTTTTAAATTTTAAATTTCATCGAATCCGTTGAACGTATCCGATGATCTATAGCAAATAACAAAGAATTCTTTTTCAAAATTTTTTTAAGATTTCAAAATTAATTTACATTGATTTTAATTATAGTGAAAGAAATGGGATTATTTTAGTTCTTACGTTTTTGTTAAGAATAATCATATTGATATTATACACAAAGAAATTAATTACTTAATTTGTTTAAGCTTTTTTAATCAATGAGTAATTCTATGCATCAATATCTTTTTTTTTTTTGTTTATAATTATGAAAATTAACACACGATCGAGTTAATATAATTTAACAAAGTGGTAACTACCACATTTTTTTTTTAAAAAAAAAAAGAATAAATTCCTTTTCATCAGCAATTAGCAATTATTTTATAAATAAGATCCATATTTGGATAGAAAAAATTAGATTACATTCTAGTCCGGCTTGCATTCCATTATCTCAAAAGTATGAAATAACTTCTTTCTATTCGGATACAATTTGAGAATTTCTAATATTATAAGATCAAATAACCATAATTTTTCATAAATATACCGAAACGAGAAATATCAGGTTTCAATAAAATCACACATGAGGCTTCACCCGGACAGTAAATACCTATTGCTGTTATGTCATCAAAGGAACAAAATGAATTTTAAATACACCTACCAATTCTTATCATAAAAGTTAGGGAACGGACATAATATCCTTATTTCGGTCAAATAAATTACTTTAATTTTAAATTAGTCAACAAATTTAAGATTAGCATCATGTGATGGTTCGTCCAATCAAAAATTCAAATTTTCTTTTTAGAATCAGAAATTTAAAGCAACATCATTGACTTTAAGAATAATTAGTAAAAAAAAAAATTGCTACCAATAATAAATTTAATGGGTTTCATAACAAAGAAACCTTTTAAGCCTTATTCTAAAACGTTGATGATTCGTCCGCCTCCTTTAGATTGTGATCTTTTTTATTTTTTTTGAACGTAAAAAAATTAAAAACAAAAACAAAAATAAAAATAACGGGGCGGTTTAGTTCCATACAAAAATTAATAATAAACATATGTTAAAATAGTTTTGATTTAATTTGAAAATAAAAATATCTCAAATTATAAACAAAAGGCATGTGGTCAATTCTTCTTCTTTATCTACTTTAATTAAGCCCCTCATCATTTGAATTCTCCTTATATTTTGATATACTGTAAATCAAGAATATTGAACAAGGGGCTTCAGATAAAATGTTTTACTTTATTAAATTGAGTCATTATAACTGATATAGAAAGCGAATGTTTTTATGAAAGTAAAAAAAAAGCGCAAACATTTCGGAGTTGAGGTTCCACCCATCTCAAGGGAGGCTGTTAACAATAACGAGCTTTTACGAATCCTCGAATATTAGATCAATATAAAATGCAAATACCAATTAAATTGAAAGTGATATATACTATTTTCAAACAATATTTCAAAAGAAATTGTTTTAAAAACGTATAATTTAAAGTTTTTTATATTATATTTTTTTTTTTAATTTAAAAAAAGAATTGAATAAAAAAAAAAATTTTGAAATAACTATTTAGCGAAGATAATTAATCGCCCAGCTGCTAAAAAGAAATAAATTAAAATTTCTTGACTAGGTCTTCTTTTTTTGAATACTTATTCAACTCGCAGCAATTCCCGAAACCAAATTTTTGTAGTAATTGGGATGCGCAGTACATGTTTAAATTAATCTAACGTTTGAGAAAATGTGTGAAATATCAAGCATATGAAATAGAGAATCTTAACAAATGGTCGTATATTAAAATGATGATCAATGTTTAAAACAATAGGTTTTTTGCGTAATGGGGATCAAAAGGTCAACTGTTGCAGACTAAAAAGGGATTTTAACTAAGGATTTGGTCTCATGTTGAATATATTTATGAATTGACTCCCGTCAACTCCGTACTTTATACCCAAAGATGGAAATTTGTGACGGTGAATACCAACAAAACGATAAGTTCTATTTGTATCTTATTGTATCTTAGGAATTGCTTACATGTGTTGATTTTTCAAATATGAAACCCATGAAAATAAAGAGCGTCCGGTAACGATACATATAACATTTATGGCGTCCTTTTTGTAGGGTAAGTCATCGTTTTAATTTACTCAAAAAAAAAATTAAATTATGCTTAAAAACAGCCTTTTTGTAAAGATCTTATGTTTTCTAGGATAAATTCTTCTCTATTATCATATCTTTTATTTCTTTATTTCTTTATTTTATTTTTATTAACCGGATCCTAAATCCTTTAACGTTAACGATGATGGTTAAGTATTTATTTCGTTAGTATTATTCGATAAAAGGACATTTTGGAAAACTTTAGAAAAGATATGCAGTATAATAGCCTTTACAAGTATGATTACAAACTGTTCCATATATGATTTAGAAACTATTTCACGATTTTGAAGCGCTAATAATACTTTGATAAACAAAAACGTGATAAACTATACTTAATATATGAAAACTCGGTCATGTAACAACAATTCGAACTGGAAAAACTTGGAGCTATTTTTTTTAAAAAAATGTAAGTAACGTATTATTATTTATCGTTTGCAAAATAAATTACATCACGCAATATACTGATGAGAGCTTTAGAACAACTATGAAACAACTCACTGGCTCATCATCACCGATCCAACCCGTAACGAATTTTTTTCGAGTCGGGACTATCATTTTTATAACACGAGTCGAGTCCTAATTCAAAAAAAAATCACGTCGGGTCAGGGTCACGTTTTTGCTTGGACCCGGATGATCAGGAGATCTGATTAATATCAATTGACTTTTTTTTGCTTTTACGTTATGTGACTTAATTTGTAACAATAAATAATAAATAAACCTATCGAGTACCAAAAAATTATCGATTATTAAACATTAACTAATACATTTTTTTAGTGTAGTTTTTTCTGATGGAACCGATCTGATATTTGGTAGAAAAAGATGTAAAAAAAATAATTTTTGACAATTTTTTTTATTTTCGGCATTAATATTACCCTTGAATTCGGTTCTGTAATTATTAACGAGTTCGAGTTCTAATATGCGTTAAACCCGACCAGATCCGACCTGACCATTACGGAGCACTAGTTCCATATAATTTGACCAAGATTCTGTTATCGTGGCTTCCTTTACTAAAATTTATTCATGATATATAAGCGGCGTATCATATGTGCATAAAACAAATTTAAAGTTTCTTGTTTAGTAATATTGATAAAAAAAAAATGTTTCATGCAAGTTTTCGAGTCGGAAATGATGTGTAACATTAATTAATATATAAAATGTCAAATCCAGACATTATTTTTTATTAAATTTTCTTAAAATATGGAACTTACTCTTACAAATTATGATGATTTTGATCCAACTCCAAAATTAAAATCCAATCCTATACCAATTATGTTTATTCCTTTTAAATCCGTTGATAAATGTCATTGGAAATGAATACTCTTTGACACTTTTAATTAAACAAGAATATTATAAAAATTGCTTATCTAAGTATATTAGTTGCATAACTGAAAATAATACGTATTTGGATCTACTTATAGTTACAAATGAAACTTATTGTAATAAACATGAAGCTAGGAATACGGATTATTGTACACAATACATTCAAGAATGGTGTGAAACTTGCTCAGATATTGTTTATTTCAATCAAATACAACATAGCAATTATAGGGTTATGTGGGAAATGAATTTAAAAATATTTGAAATAATAAGGATTGTAAATTATGTGAAGAGTTAGTTTATAATTCAAATTACTTTAAAATATGTTCAGATTGTTATAAAATTTCTTCTGGACGACTTTAACTAAAATACTTGTTCCAATTCTTTATTCACCGTGGTGGGAAAGTTATGGTTATTGTAGAAATTGTGAAAATTCCATGAAACACGTAACTGATTGTCTCAAATGGTGTAAATATTGCAAAATAACTTACAATGGATGTAGATATTTGTTAACAACAACCATCATATTGAAATTACCGATTATTCACAATGTAAAAAATGCAAAAGAACAACAATTATTAATATTGATACATCACTTATAAACAGTGGTAACAATACTATAGATGAGTTTATTCTCAGTACAAAATTTAAAAATATTCAGGCTGTTGATAACATGAAAATTACTGTGAAAAAGCTTGAACCAAAATATGTATATAAAGCTTTTACAGAAATAATTTTATCATGTTCAGAAATTAAATGTATTTCATTTTTCAACTTAAAAATTTAGAAGAAATAGTATAAGGGGGATTTGGCATTATTTATAAAGCAAATTATTTAGGTAAATTACCTAAATTTCATAATAATACGAATGTTTCATAGTCCATAAGAAAAGTTAAAACCGTTGCTATAAAAAGGTTTTTAAATTTAAAGAATATTAGCAAATCTTTCTTAAATGAGGTAATAATTCAAATATTCTATATCTGAAATGTAATTTTATTTAATAATCTAAAATAATCTAAATGATATTAAATCATCTTTGTTTTTCTGATCAAAGAGTTAATCGTGTGTTAATCGTGTTATGGTGTTACAAAAGATCCTAAAACAAACGATTTTATGTTATTAATGGATTATGCATCAGGAGGTGATTTACATGATTATTTACAAAAAATTTTGCTGAATTAACATGGAATTAAAAAAAATTAGGAATATTATGGCAAATTTTAGATGGTATTTGTATTATATTTTATTTATATTGGTATATTTTATCTATAATTTATCTTACTAATTTATTTTTTAATGTTAGACTTGAAACTATTCATAATAAAAATCTCATACATCGAGATATGCACATCGGAAACATGTTATTTGTTAAAGGTAATGAAAGAATTTATCAATGGCAAATTGGCGACTTTGGATTATAACGGCCTGCAAATAATACTTCAATAAATAATGAAATATATGGAGTTATTCCTTATATAGCACCAGAAATATTTCATGGTTCTTCATATTCAAAAGAATCCGATATTTATAGTATTGGTATGGTTATGTGGGAATTTACAACAGGTTGCAAGTCTTTTGCTAATGTTGAACATGATCACAAACTTATTTATGAAATTATTGATGGAAAACGACCTGAAATTACAGAAGATACTCCCGATTGTTATGCTAATTTAATGAAAAGATTTGGGATCCTGATCATTTAAAAAGACCTCCTATAAAAAAAATCCGTAGAATTATTGGCGGTTGGTATCGCGGAAAAAAAAATAATGAGCAATTTAATCAAGCTGAAAATAAACGATTGGCATTAATTGAATTAAAGAAACTTGGTCCTGATTTACTGAAAAGCATCTAAAATCAATCTATACAAGTAGAGCATTTTCTAGGACTTCTATAAATTCACTTATTAAATCACATAATATGAAGCAAGGTATAAATTATAAGATAGTAAATTGTTAATAAAAGATAGTTGGGTTTATCAATTATTAATTTATCTGTCCATAATAATTTTCTATTTTTATGCTAGGATATATTTCGAAGGAGCATTAATATGATATAAATTATCAAAGGTATCATAACTTTTAATTATCAATATTATGTCTATTTATTTTAAATTGAATTAATTTATACAGTATATTTGCAATAAAAATATATAGTTCGTCTTCAGCAAGTAATCATTCTAATCTACAGTCATATAATCATTCATCTAATATTCAGTATCAAGACGAATACTACGCTAATATGTAAAAACTTTATGAAATACAGTTCATGTCAATTAAGTTTAACTAATAATTTGTTTATTTTTGAATTTTAATTCATTAGAATATATTTCTAAAGAATTGGAATTTGATATTTCCAGATATTGTAATAAATTATAATTATAATTGTTTTATAAATAAAGAATCTTTAATATAAAGATGAGTTTCTTATATTTTTTAATGATGTTATAGCCAACCTGCAATGAATGTAAATTCGACAACTCAAGTTACTTCAAAGACTTTGCATCAAAGTGGAACTCATACAAGTCTAATAAATTCATCTATTTCATCTGAGAATTTTTCAAGAAAACGTGATATTGAAGAATCGGAAATCAATTCTCAAGTTATTAGTAAGAAAGAACTTTATTTATACATATGACTGACTACCATATCAATACTAACGGATTATTTTTTTATTGAAATCAAATTTTTATATAGAAAAACATGTTAAAACTGGCGATAATGTACTTTAAATTTAGACTTTACAGAATGAGCCCGAATTTATTTTTAATTTACACGTTTTATTTTATATACATTTATATACTTTTGAAAAAAAATTCTCTTTCGATTAGAAAATATTAAATAATTTAAAATAACCAAGTTTATTAGCATTGCTTTTTTAATAAATGGTTTGGTTTGATTTAATCTCGTCAAATTATCACATTAAATTTAAACTTTAAGTTTAGTTATTAGGACAGGTCACGCCAGTAAAACAAAAAATAGCTGCGATGTTATTTTCTTGGAATATATGGGAGGTTTTGCTTAAATTACATGTTACGGATCATATGATTTAATATGTTCGTTTTTAAAAATCCCGTGATCATCCTAAGCGAAACGATTTCATAAGTCAACATAAAAGTGTATGTCTAATGCGATAATTATTACCAGATAGTTACGTAATACATTGCATAATAATAATCTTTATATGTTAAACAATAATTTTACCATAGACTATGTCAACTTCCTTACAAGTTGCTAAGAGTATAATAAATTAGACTAATAGATACATAGTCTTTTTTAAATTTTATGAAAAATTTCAGATGAATGATATTATTTTTCTTCTTTTTATTTTCAACTATTGAAATTTAATTAATTCTTTCTAGATGACTTTGAAATTCAATTTGCGTCAGAAAAATATAATTGAAGTTAAAGCATATCATAGAATAAACTCAATATCTTTATAATGGACCTTGTTTATCTAATAAAAAGAAAATTTTTTTATTTAAGTTCACTTTATGAAATGTTAAAGGCTATGTAATTTATTTAATCCATTTCCATTGTAGAATTTAGTACAATGCCTCTTGGTTTTGAATTTCCACCAGTAGCGTTAAAAGGGACACTCCCTCCGCCAGCTGCAAGCATATTGGCTTGCAGAACGTCGTTAGATAAAGTGGTTACTGGATTCGCAGTAGGCATCGGAACTTGCGCTGAAAAATCGGGTGCAGCTGGTTGATGTACTTGTTGCAATGCAACTCCAATGAAATTTGAAGGCATTTGTAACGGTTGTTGTGTTAGCGTAATTTGTGAAATATCTTGTTGCGTGATAGCTTGCGCTTGCAAAGCTGCAAAAGCATTAGCGTCTAAAGCTTGATTAGTATTTGGAACGCCAAACTGTTGACCAAATTGCATTGAATTCATGTTTGAACAGGAAATTGTTGATTCGGTTGTCCTGGAATATTGGTTTGTCCAGGTGGTTGTGCTGTTACTTGAGCTTGAATATCTTTTCGTTGGTCCGCTATGTTTTTTGTTGTGTGATCATCGCCATGTCGTTGATCTTTGTAGAGGTATTATATATAGTAATATTTATGTCATCGATTATTTTTGAATGAACTAATAATGATGTATGAATCATATAAAGTTTAGTCTATACATTGATTATCCTAATTAGGTAAATTGCAACCATACGAAAGGCAGTCGTATATACATTTTGTTTTCGAAATTTACGAATTGAAATATGACAGATTTCAATAATGTAAACGCATTTATAACCACTACATATCGCGAATTTCACCAGAATCCATTACATCGAAATTACGTAATTCCTTTCTTGAGGCACGTGCATAGATTAATTAAAATTCAAGAAACTAGACTTGCGGTCGTTAAATAAAATAGTACGATATATAACAAATGATTTTTTTTTGTTTAAATCTAAATAAATGAAATTTCTTGGAGGAATCTAATAGATCTCCGAAATTTTATTGGTTGCACACTAATTTCTTAGTTTACGTATCGTTTACGATAATAAATCTATATTCTTCCCTTTATGATTTAAAATATAATTTAATAGTTTTTGTTAACTTAAAGATCAAGTATTAGAAGCAGAAAAGTATTAATAAAGTTAAATATTTTCAAAATTTCCAATTGTAGAATATTGACAACATTTCCATAAATAATTTCAAAACAAACGCGTTATAGTAATTTCAAAAGGTAATTACAGTGATTAAGCCAGCCTAAACAACGAAAAAACCGTACTTGAGCTAAACATGATTTCTCTTGTTTTTATTATTTTAAATAATATTAAGACGCGTATTTTTTTTTATTTTATCAAAGAAAACGAGCAAAAAATGCTTATGTCAAGTTATCAACGGGTATTGAAATTCAAAATTTTTTTTGTAATGCTTTTTTCTTTTTTTTTTTATAACAATTTCATATACTATAATATAAAATGTAATTGGTATAAATTAAATAACTTACATAGAGTTTATATAAATGCTTTCGTATTTTAAAATATATAACTGATTAATATTTTTTCTTAAATCCGCAAAATACGGTATTTTTTGTATTTTAATATATTTAATCGGACATATTTATTTCATAAAATTTTATAAAGGCGGCGATTTTTAAAACACAGTTGTAAATGACAAGAGAAGCTAAAACGTTTCGTGTAAATAGTTAAACTGAAGTCTTGTCGGCACATATTAATGAAATCATAATTCCATAATTTATTAATGATTTTTAGGTAATTGTCGTACAATTATATTGACAATTAAGAATAATTTATAAGGTTTAACCTTATATAGTTTCCAGTAATTATTATTCACGGTCCAAAATACGAACTGGAATCATTTTGGGGCTGCATCACGGAAATGCGGATAATATTATCAAGTATTATAAAAGAAAAATTTTGTTTATCCAAAGATAAAGAATGTATTATTAGTAGACTGAAAAATTATAATGGCAACGGCCGCAATACATTTACCAACAACCCTATTAAAAAAAAAAATGAACATTCACTGAACGTGTGTTTAAATAACATACAGGAAAAATTATCGTGAAATTTTAATTCCTACAATAAATATAGATAAAAAATAAAAAATTTATTTGCTAGCTTATTTTTTTTAATTGTTTGTAAAAGTAAAGCTTGCGCCTCACATGACTAATGTGGCGAATTTTAATTATTAATGCAATCTAGTTTAAGTTATTTGATTTTTTATGTAACAACGTTTGGCATGGTGTGAAACGTGCAGCATGCCTTGGGTTCGAATACTTGTTGTACCAATTTCTAAAAATAAAAAATTTTTTTTTTTTTATTTATTCCACGCTTTTTTTTACAACAAAAATTTTCTATAAGCTCAACATGGCTTTTCAATTTTGGAATTTTGGAATTTCAGAGGAGTGCTTATAAGCAGAAGGTCCAACATGCCACGTCTTCTCTAAATAAAAGTCACCACCAACTAAACAATAGCAGTATCTGGTGAAAAGACTTTACTTATTATAGTACACTTATTGGAAGTATAAAAGAAGTAATAGTCTTTTCGTTCACTTATCACAACATGTTTTAACATAAAACGCAAGACTTTGGTGCAGTAATCTCTAATATTTTGAAAGTTCCACCTTAGTCGATGAAATTATTCTATCTTTACCTATTAAACGTGGTCGCGTCGCAGTTACAACATAAAATGTAAGAGTAATTAATATTTTTTATCCGAAAAATTTCTTTATTTGAATGTTGTTATGAGTTTTTTTATTTAAACATTACATTTATACTAATTATACCCTCTCCGACACCTATTTGAAAATACTTTAGCTCTTTTCCAAAACTATTGGTGAAATATCAATATTGTCGATATCGATGTCATCATTTCCAAATTGTTTATAGGAATTTCTCATAATCAAAGCTGTACAGAAAGAGGAACGTCCAAATGTAAGCTCAACAAATTCAAGAATTCCGCTATAATATCATTGATTAGAAGTTAATCCAACCAAAGATACGTAAATTTCAATAATACCTGTGCAACTAGTTCATTTGCACTTTAATCTCCAAGATCGTAGACGTCTCTGCAGAGTAATTAATGCGCGTAATAAATCAAACTATGAATAAGGTGATGAAGTTTCTCTCATAGCAGGTATTGAGAATTTGATTGAAAATCGGATAATCTATTTCATCCTTGATGTATTTACATTCAGCTTTGAAAAGTATTTGATTCTTCACTGGGAAGTCAACTGGTAGTCAAAATTAAGTATATTTCAACACAATTTATTTAATGCATTTTTTGAGGTGGCTCATTAACATACTAAACGAATTTTAGAGATAGTATCTTTTTTTTTAGGTCTCACCGTTTTTTCTGGTAATTTATGCACCTATATTAAAATCAATTACTAAATTTTCCCTTTTAGATGATGCAGCTTCACATGATCAAAATCTAAGGTACTTATGACAACCTAACGGAGTTATTAAATATTAATTAAATTTTCTTTTTTCTTCTTTTTTTATTAAGTTTTATCTTATCGTATGATTATATAATCTATGTGAATAAAGACAACAGTAACTCACCAACCTGTTTCCTTGGTTTAAAGATTGCCGGGTCGTCAACCCCGAATTAACTAGTGATGCAATTAGAAGAGCTCTTGAATTAATACGTTTATGTGCATTCCAAACAAATAGATTAATTACATTGACATTGCACAGTCGGGAGTAGGCATTTGATTCACAAAATAAAATAATAAAAAATAAATGAAACGATTTATTTATCTGGTTTCTTCGGTTTCATCAGATTTAAATATAAGGATCGAAACTCAAAATTGACAAAACAAACATTTGAAACCAGATTTCTAACCTGATTTCTTTTATCCCGAACTTTCGATTCCAACCGGATTTGGTATATCCGGTTTTTGTACTAGAAAAAATATTTTATCCGGACTTTAACGCGCCTCATTTACAGCAATTTCACAAAATGTCATCATATTTCTTCTCAAGTTTTATTATTAAATTAACTTATCCCATCCATTACATTATTCATTATTTATATTACTTAACAATGTATTTAGCCGTAATAAAGTAAAATATAAAGGATCGAGATAAGAATTATAAATTTACAATAAGCAAACTTCAATACTTCATTTTCAAATTTCTTCATGTCTTCACAAATAGAGCTGCGACCCGTCAGAATTTCAGAATCCGGGTTATCATAAAATAGGTGAGCACTATAATATTAACATAAACATTTCCATTTATTACATTTAATCTATAATTCTAAATTAATGATATGTTATGTAACCATCGGTAATTGATTTTTTTTCTATAATAGAAAGGCGCCTATTTCGTTATTGAAGTTTTAACATTTTTAAAATTATTGATCGATATATACATGTAATTTTTAACTTCGTATTTAGTAAGTTTATTTATTCAAGAAATTCATCAGCTGCTTTTCTATAACTTTTATCGCTTCCTTATATAACTGTTCTGCATCCAATGATACCTTTTCAAAATCCCTTACTTCAATGGTTCTAAGCCAATCCTTGATACCATGGATTTTGGACACGGCTTCTTCTTTTTACTATTTGTTTCAGGTTGGATTTCATCACAGGTTTATTTTTACGAGCAAATTATATAAACTCGAATTTGGTTATTACAAATACGATATCTTAATCATATGGGTATTTTTGCATTGTGGAAGTTTGAATATTCACATATTAACGTGTTGAACGAATTGAAAATTTTGGTTAACAAATTCACTATAGTTTATCAGTATGTTTGTTATTAAATGCTTTCAAATTGGTATATCATTAAATGAACGATTATATTAATACAAAAATGTATGTGATGCAAGCATTCCAATTTAGGGTATAAATTAACATTGACTGGTTACTAAATATTTGATCCATCATGTCAACTCAATATTACAGCCCTTATAGATCCGCAAGATCCGAGAATAGTCATTTTATTACTATTGTGCCTGTAATGAATGTAGTGTGTTCCAAGTCTTGAACCAATTGAATGTTCCCGAATTTGCCATAACCTCAGGGTGTTCAAGTGGTTATCTTTAAACTTTATGTAGAAAGCAAAAAAAAAAAAATTCATATTTCTTTATCATCATATTTTGGTATGTTGTCGTAGATCGGGTCAATTTATTATGCAACCTTTTTAATATAGAAAATGCGACATTTTTTCTTCTATCTTTTTTAATGCATGATATATTTTTTTTATTTCTTTGTCAATAACGAGTTGACGAATAAACACGATAATATAATTATTAGTAAATATTTTTTAAAAAAATAAAAATAGGTACAATTTTTATCATATCAAAAAAAGAATTTAATAATAAATGATAAGTACAAAGTACCCTGACGCAACTTCTAAGGAAATATATTTGCTCGGAAGAAAATTACAATAGGTAAATGAAAGTAATAATTACTTA